TATATATATATATATATATATATATATATATACACATGCATACATACATACACATATAATTTTCCAGTAGATTATTCCTTTAGCAGACTTAAATGCATCTTACAAATAAGAAAAACATATGATATATATATAATTAATTAATTATTATTATTATTATTTTTTTTACTATTTTAGTTTACAATTCCATGTAATTTGATTCAGTGTCTTTATGCTTAACTTCAGACCATTGCATCAGTAGCAGCTTGTGATGCGCTTTTGATACAGAGGTCTGAAGTAATTTTAAATAAGTTGAATGGACCTTTTTTTTTTGTGCTAAAATAGGGCATGGGATTCTACTGTGAATCTCCGTGTTGGCAAATCTATTCAGTCTTCCCCCATGCTTGGAGGTTGTCCCACTTTTTTGGGCATCTACCTTCCCTAAGAAACCTGCCCTCTTTTTCTTCCCTCTAGATTTGTGTTTGCATTTCCTAACCCATATCCCAGGAATGCCATAGAGGTGGGCATATGTATCGGGGTCAACAAGGCACCTGGACAAGATGGATGTCTATGGATAAAAGGCACTGCTGAATAATTTGCGTTTCCCGTTAAGAAAGATACAGAACAATATTTCACATACAATCATGGCAGATTGGGGTCGACTGTGACGACTGTGCAGCGGGTAGGATCCGGGGGTGCCTGGCTCATTTAAAAAGTGTTTCCCATCCCATCAGGAGTGTGGTCTAGAGAGAAATGAAGTTGAAATAGTTTCACAGTTCTGTATCGGTCGTGTATTTAAACTTTGTGAGGTCTTTTTTTATTTTTCTTCAGATCATAAGTATTCTACATTGCGGTTTGAATTTGAATGCCCAAGGCTCAGACTTAAACCAGTGTTAAATGTTATTTTTTATCAGATTAAAAAAAAATGTTACCAGTGAGGTTAGAAAAATGTAATGCAAAGGAAACACTACTTTATTTTTCTCACCTCACCTGCAAATCTTTTTTTAAAATCTAAAAACAAAAATACTTTATGATTGTAGAACATTTAATTTAAAAAGGCATGACGTTTGGTATTAATTTGGGTTGGGTACAACTTTTTTTTTTTTTTTTTTTTTTTTAAGAAATGTATAATTTATTATTATTATTATTTTTTTTTTTTGCAGTGTAATCATTAAAACATGATCCTATATTCAACATTTCCTTATCTACCTGTGGTTTGAAGAGCTCTCTCTCACTGGGCGTACAACATCAAATCGTGTATGAAACATTCGTGTTTGGGCCAGTGCAGCTATAAGCAATGTGTTTAATATATTATTGTGTTATAACTGTACGCATTCTGTCTCCTTCTCAGAAATACCGATATCAGGATGAGGATACCACGTCGCCTCCAGAACACAGCTCTCCACACCTACCAGGAGATGTGCGTCCTCCTGAGCTGGTGCAGGTGTCGGAGAAGAGCATCTCCCAGATTGAGAATGTACACGGCTATGTTTCCCATTCCCACATCACTCCTATGAAGGTAAAATCTCCCAGCATTCCTCTGGCTCCATGACAGATTTCTGTGCTGCATGGCATCTATTCTGTGTCTCTGTGCACTCTGTAAACATGCTTAAATGTTGTGTGTGATAGAATCTCCATCAGTGTCATGTTTACACATGTGCACAAACATACCCACAAAATCAATTACATTCACATACACTAAATTAAAGACTCAGACTACAGCTAATGATTAGTTTGCTAATTGAATCCGTTTAGTTCAGATGAGAGTGCTGACGGATGTTTTCCGTGCAGCGCTCACAAACACAATCTATAATTAAATTTGTTTAGTTTATTATTTTTACTGGTCCCAGCAGAAAATAAGGTTAACATTTATTTCTTAGGGGGAAAAAACCTTTATATGGCTCAGAAAAATCTATTAATTAAATATTAAAAATATTATTATAATCCGTTGCTGTTTGGTTTGGTTTGGTATTTGTATAGCATTTCAGTTTATTTATTTATTTACTCTGGTCCCACCACAAAATAAGGTCAGCTTTTTTATATGGCATAAAAAATCTATTTATTAATTACTAATTATATAGTTTTATTTTTCATTTGTTTTAATTACTAAAAATCTTGCGTGCATTACTTTTATTTAATTTACTTTTTGTACCCATCAGTTTTAACCAGCTAGATAACATTATCTCTTTTTATATAATAATTTTTTACTATTTTAGATTAACAGAAAAAAATCAAGTAGCTTTAGTTTTGCAGACTTGCCAAATCAACTGAACACTAGCTTGTCCAAGTTGGAAGACCAGTTTAAACATTCTAGGATCAGCAAAAAAGCTTTTTTCAGCCAGGTAGATTCTCAACTTTCACCTGTTGTACTATTTGGAGAATTTGAGCTTATAACAAAGTAATATTATCTAGCTGCTTTGTTGTATAAAGTTCAACATAGAGTAGCGTATAATATATCATGTCCACTGCTGAGAAAACAGGTCAGTAGCATGCAACCCTTGAAAAATAATCGCTCTGTTCCAAATGCTAGTGCCTTGCTATCTACTTCCTACATAAGAAGCTGTTCTTAACCAAAATGAACCTCGTAAGGCATTGGTTTGAATATTTCTACTTGTACGCTTCAAACTTTCTACTGACACATAACACATAAATAGTGCTCATGATATGCATGTGAAAATAGACTCCCAGCTGATTCAAAGTGCAGTATGTGTTAGCACATGTTGCTAATGACACAGTACTCCAAGCACAAAGCAAGCACACACAAATTGAAAATTTTAATTATATGTAACTACTATGTATTCATATAAAGGCCTAAGATGTGACTGATAGTTCATCGCAGAAGCTTAATGCAAGTCGTGTGCTAAATGAGAAGATGGCAAGCGCAGACGCAAGAAAGATTTAGCAATATTATTTATTAAAAACTGGACTTCTACACAGTTAGCTTTGTTTATCTGGTCATCATTAATGCATAATAGCCAGTCCACAGAGACTGTTCTGCTGTACAGTGACTCAGTTTTCTGCAGCAGTCGGATGGAACTCTTAAAATATGGATGCACAGCGAAACATTTGTCAGAAAAAGATTATGTATAGCCTGATTATGTTTTTAGTACCTTACGTTAGCAGTCACACTAATTGTTTCAGCTGTGAATGATTCTGTTTACTGGCCAAATGAGAAACCTTTCAGGGTCAGGGTATATTTAGCATTTTTAAAAATAATTCTATCATGATTAGGCCTACACAGAATCTGCACATTCTTTTTCTTTCTGTATTGATTACAGGACACAATCTGCAGAATTTTGCAGAATGGATTTAAGTATGGTAAATTGTGTTTCAAACTGCTCTGGAAATACTACAATCACATTGGAAAGACATTAAATAATATCACATAACGTTACAGTCTCCTAACCAGATGTGATGCAATTAGCAATAAAAACTCTTCCATAACCTTTTTTTTTTTTTTTTGGCCAGCAAGGATATTTTGTTGATCATTTTGTTTCTATTTCTGTGGCAATTTTCAAAAAATCAAAAATCTCGCTCCTAACTGTTGAAAGGAAGCTGACATGATGCCCTGCGTTGTGGGACGTTTTATACTCATTTTGCAGCTTTTATGACCTTATCAATTCAGAGAATATATGTAATATTTATGATTTTAGAAGTTCATTTGCCACAACGCTGGACCATTTAAAATAAACTCATGAAGGCTTATATAAAAAGATTTATATAAATAGTGAAAAGAAAATAGAAATGGGTAGCTTGAAAAATTAAAAAAATATAAATTGATAAATAATAAAATGATCAATTTGAACCTAAAATGGACACGTTCTACGTCACTCACATTAAAGATCAAATATCTGTGGCTTGTCTGTCAGTGAATGATTTTGTGCAGTTTATATCCAGTATGAAGAGACAAATTGCTTCGTTGTCACTTGTCTCATCATGTCTGGTTAGGACACCGTGTTATGAATGACAGGCATTGAAATGTTGTTTTAATGGAGCTTTTTGTGCATTTCCTAGAGTGCAGGCCTATTAATGACCTAGTGTTCTCATTTGTTGACGTCTTGAACAGCTCTACCACCAAACTACTATTAATCTTCATCGTTTGTAAAAGCCAGGTGTACATTGCAGTTTTAAAACCCGTGATTCTTAGCACACCGAGAGTAGTGCTGATGTTTGAGGAGCTGTGCTGGGCTCAGATCAGTGGAGCTCCCCGCATGCCGACAGAGCAGCGCCTGACAAGCCCTGCCTGTCACCTCCGATCAGCCTCAGCTGCGCAGAGCACGAGCTAGTGCTCTCTGTCCCCGCACACACACAAAAACACACTCGCTCTGTCATCACTATGAGCCTGCATTCCTCCTAAATCAGTCCATGTGCTCTAGGCTGATGGTGCTTTCTGGCTGCTGGCCCAGCTGACTCGCGCCCTCTCTTAACTCTCCCTCACAACAATATGAGCTCTGAGAACGCACGCTACAAACACACATCTTTGCAATTAGTTGTATTTTCTTTTTTCAAAATGAATCATGTTACCAAAACAGACTTGGATAGTTCGATGACAGTTCTGATTGTGATTAAGATGACGATTCAAAACAATTTCCTTCAAATCAGACTGGCGATGTGAAGCTCAGTAGCCTTACGCCACCTTGTGACCGTTGTTTGTAATGTAAGGCTCATTAGAAGTTTAAGTTAAATATAATTTTTCGATGTTAAAATACTATCCTGGCTTAGCTTAATATGCTCAGCCAGATGTATATGGAGCAAGTTTTATTTATTTTTAAATGATGTACAAAATGATACATATTTTGTAATTCTGTTTGACGATGCACAGTAAAATTATTTTTAGGTTTATTTTAAAGATTACGTTTTTTTTCTTAAATTTTTTGGTTCCCATTTAAAACAATGTCACATTTTAGCCGTAGGACCTTTAATTTCCCATGAATCAGATCTCGCTTTACACACTCTCTGCCCTGATGATGACGTGACTGCATGCTTTCCGCAGAACATGACACATGAACCACATGCCCCTGGTCAGGTTTCTATTTACAGACCGCTCTACTGGCAGTCAAGACACAGGGATGCTCTCATCCAGAGTAACGGATTGTTTAACCTTTCGCTTCAGTGGCACACAGCCCGAGTTTACCTCCTAAAGCAAATGCAGTTTGTTTAACGTCATATTGATTCAAAGTCATTGATGTTTGAGATTTTTGCCTGATTATGAGATTTCTTATGATTCCCTGTGTGCTTGGCTGGAACTGTCGTCACAGATGGAGGTGACATCTTGTGGCTCCCCATGTCCTACAGTTGTAGTGTCCTGTAACTAGCCTGCATACTTGTAAAAGCCTATAATGATATCTGTGCTGAAGCACAGCAGAGCTCTGCTGTGATATTTTTATCATCGTGTTCGTCACTTCACGAGTAAGAGAAGTGGGTCATGGTATATACATTACATAATTTGGAAACACTGAGTGATAAATTGTGGTTATTTTAATAGTTTTTTTGTCATTAATGTAACTATCATGAATTTCTAGTTTTAAATTTGCTGAAATTTGCCTATGAATATACACCACTATTCAATAGTTTGTAGTCGGTGAGATTTTGTAATGTTTTTGAAAGAACTGTCTTATGCTCACCAAGGCTGCATTTATTTGATCAAAAACACAGGGGGGAAAAATGTAATATTGTGAAACATTATTACAATTTAATTAGAAAGCAGTTTTTTTTTATATGTTTTAAAATGTAATTTATTCCTATGATGGCAAAGCTGAATTTTCGGCAGCCATTATTATTAGTGTAATTATTATTAGATAATTCATAAATGGTTCTAATATATTGATTATTGGAATTGAAAACGGTTGCTGCTTATTTTTTATTTTTTTGTGGAAGCTCTCCATAAATAATAAAACGTTCAAAAGAACCGTATTAATTTGAAATAGAAATATTTGTGACAGTGTGAAAGTCTTTACTGTCACTTTTGATCCATTTAATGCGTCCTTGCTGAATGAAAGTATAAATTTTTTTTTTTTTTTTTTAAATCTTAATGACCACAAACATTTGAATGGTGTCACTGTCAGATTGTCAGAGTGCCTGTGCTGATAAATCAGTATAAATAGGAACAAATCCAAATTTTGGTTAATAAGTTTTTCTTATTGTTCTTCTTCTTCTTCTTCTTATTAAAATTCTAGTTATAAATATGGCATCTACAGTATGAGAACAAGGGCACATGTAGAGAATACAATACTCTTATAGGCTGCTGAAAACATGATCAAATAAGACAAAATATTAAGCAAACACAAATGGTTATGTATAGAACTTTGAATTGTGTGGGTTTCAGTCCTGCAGTCGCTTTTTCCACCATCGGTCTGAACGGTTTTAAGAACAGTATGGAACGGTTCCCGTTATGTTTCCGCTTGAGCTTTATTACGTGGGATCCTTCCAGTTCTTTAGAAACTTTGTGGAACTTTCTGTGGAGTTGAGTGGGTGTAATTCTATGTGGACCTGCCTATGAGTAATTATGCTTGTTAACCCAAATACATATAGGATTTACATCATTTTAACTTTGGCCGTCCAAATTAGATGTTGACATATTAGATGCCAGTTATTCTCATTGATTCATATCAAGCATTTACTGCAGAGAACACCTATTTCGTGCTTTACCTTCTCGTATGACACACAGATGACACATGTGATCACATTGTTACCCATCTGTCCAGGCATTCTCAGAATGACTCCATGCTATGGAAATGACATCAATTTCCTGCTGTCTTCTGCCACACAACTTCAAGTGTGTGCTTTTTATGAGTGTAATTTTTTTTTTTTTTTAAATCTTAATGACCACAAACATTTGAATGGTGTCGCTGTCAGATTGTCAGAGTGCCTGTGCTGATAAATCAGTATAAATAGGAACAAATCCAAATTTTGGTTAATAAGTTTTTCTTATTGTTCTTCTTCTTCTTATTATTATTAAAATTCTAGTTATAAATATGGCATCTACAGTATGAGAACAAGGGCACATGTAGAGAATACAATACTCTTATAGGCTGCTGAAAACATAATCAAATAAGACAAAATATTAAGCAAACACAAATGGGTATGTATAGAACTTTGAATTGTGTGGGTTTCAATCCTGCAGTCGCTTTTTCCACCATCGGTCTGAACGGTTTTAAGAACAGTATGGAACGGTTCCCGTTATGTTTCCGCTTGAGCTTTATTACGTGGGGTCCTTCCAGTTCTTTAGAAACTTTGTGGAACTTTCTGTGGAGTTGAGTGGGTGTAATTCTATGTGGACCTGCCTATGAGTAATTATGCTTGTTAACCCAAATACATATAGGATTTACATCATTTTAACTTTGGCCGTCCAAATTAGATGTTGACATATTAGATGCCAGTTATTCTCATTGATTCATATCAAGCATTTACTGCAGAGAACACCTATTTCGTGCTTTACCTTCTCGTATGACACACAGATGACACATGTGATCACATTGTTACCCATCTGTCCAGGCATTCTCAGAATGACTCCATGCTATGGAAATGACATCAATTTCCTGCTGTCTTCTGCCACACAACTTCAAGTGTGTGCTTTTTATGAGTGTCTGCAGTTCATCATGATGATCCATGGTTTTAGAAGAAGAGTGCTTTATATGTGTGCTGCATTATGAACGATCATCATTATGGGTGATTAGGGTTCAGTCATTAGACTGAACTCACCTCACACCCTTTATTATTCTATTCCTCACTCGTTTTTGCGTTTGCCAGCTGTTTGTTGCTTAGTGAAGTTGTTGTGTTATGTCAGTAGCTGCATGGGTTTCAATGAAGGGCACGATGCTTTCCCATACTTCACTCTCATTTTAAAGCTGCTTGTGGGTACATATTTGTTTCATATATTTGTGTGTGTGTGTTTCTATCAGAGTGTGTTTGCTACTCATATTTATCACCTGAGCTGCGTGCCCCTCTTCAGGTAGAGTCTCTGGAGTGCGTTTTTGATGGGTCGTCTGCGTTAGGAGGTGAGGAGGTCCCAGCCCCTGCCTTTGCCACACTATACTCTCAAAGTGACACATTGATGCAGGTAACCCAGTGTGATTCTATGGATTTTATTTGCATGTTTGATTCACCAACCACTGCTCTCTATGCAAAAAATGATAAAACAGATGGCACAAGCTTATAATCTAGAGAAAACTGTGTTGTAGTTTGCTGTGCAAGCACTAGGTGGCAGAGATGCTACAGTGTTAGATGGCATGTATGTAGAATTCTGTTGGATAAGTTGTAGTTTGGACTATATAATTTATATGTCCATATTATTTTATACAATAAGTATGAAGACACAAATTTCCCTATTTAATTTCTTAATTTCCTGTACTATGAAATATTATTTGAAAGAAAGTGTCTTTTATAATTTTTAAATCACAATGCAATAATGCGTTCCTCTGAAACAAGTTGTTAACCAATAGCTAAATGGTTATGAAAGGGATAGTTTACCCAAAATGCTAATTCTGTCATCATTTCCAATTCTGTTTCCAAACCTGTACGAGTTTTTTTCTTTTGTTGAACACAAAAGAAGATATTTCAAAGAATGTTTGTAACCAAACAGTTGATGGTAGTCATTGACTTCCATAGTACGAAAAAAGAAGAATATTATGGAAGTCAATGGCTACCGTCAACTGATTGGTTACCAGCATTTAAAAAAAACAAACAAAAAAATGAAATTCTTCAAAATGTCTTGTTTTGTTTTCAACACAAGAAAGAAACTCGTACAGGTTTGGAGCAACTTGAGCGTGAGTAAATGATGACACATTTTTGGGTGAACTATACCTTTAAGGCATTATTATAGATGACTTCTGTTCGATCTGACTTCATTCTGTTATGCAACAGTCACCATCTATTCAATAAAAATCCTTTTTTTAAATAAATAAATAAATCAATCAATAGATCCCATTACCAAAGTAAAATGTGTTGTGAACACCATGTCACATTGACTTGAGTATTTGGTGTCCAGTTTAAGATTCACTGTGCTATATACCTTGTAAAGATAATTTTCTTAAAATGAAAAAAATATTTAATTTCTTGAAAACTATGTGAGTTTCTTGTTTTTAGATTTTACTTATGCATTTTTGTAAATACATTTTAAGTGATTTAAGTGACAAGTCATTAGTAACAATTTTGACACCTTTGGGGCAAATACAAGTACAGGTGCAAACAATTTTGTAGCTGAACACGGTTTAATTTTTATGTCAGTGTGAAATGTTTGTTGCCAGGCCTTTTATGGTATTTGTAGAAAGAAAGAAATGACCTTATCTCTTTGTTGGTGACACTCTTAAAAATGTAATGCTTTCCAATAAATTGGACTTGTGCCAGTTTCTGGGTCAAGGAGGATTAAATGATTCATGCTTAATTTGTTGCACAGCTACTCTAACAAACCATGCTCATCAGTAGGTCAAAGCATTTTGTCTCTTTAGGGTGAAATGGTCAAACCAAGTCCAAACCTGACATAAAGCTTAGAAGATATATTTGCCATTTGATTAATGAAATCACGTTCTGTATGAGTGCCTGTTCAAGATAGGTTTGTTTTTCTAATATAAGCCTACATGAAGCTGTTCACGTATACTGTCAGGTTTTTTTTGGGGGGGGGGGGGGGGGGGGGGGGGGGGGTTGTAGAAAGTTTTGCTAGATTTTCTTCTGTTTATGCATTTTTTGTATCTTTAAGAAGTGAAGTGTGACTCTTAGCTTTCTCTGTTGACACGCATTCCGAGACTTGTTTCTTGTTCACTGAACAGAATGTCAGACCGCCTTTTTAAAGTGGGCATTTGGTGTTTATAAGGTTTGTGGCAACAACAATTTTCTGGGGGAGGTTGTGAAACAAGACTATGCATCGTGCTTATATTAACAGGCATGCAGACTTTTACACAAACAGATGGTACAGGCCTGTTCATACCTCTGCTGCTTTGTTATTTAATATTGAAGTAATGTTATATTGAAATGTGTTTTATGACATTTGTCACAACATTTAGCTAGAACAGAATTGAATTAAGTATATTTTTGGCTGCAACTTTGTAGCCTTTCCATGACTTTACACGAGAAGGATAATAAATTATTACTTGTCTCCTGCAAGTCTTATGAGGTCTTGACTCAAATCATGTTTAAGCAGTATTTAGAAGTATTATAATATGTCTTGTACATTTACCATTTGTTTAGAAGGCTTTTTCAGTTTTGAGGTCTGTATTCCTGTATTATTTGTATTTCTATATTATTTGAATAACTGTACATTACAGTTCAAATGTTTGAGGTTTGGTAAGATTTTTGTTGTTGTTATGCACTTATGCATTTACTTTATCAAAAATACAGTAAAACACTGATATTGTCAAGTGTTGTTACTAATTTAAATATAGCCTGCTGCTTAATAGTTTTGTAGAAACTGTTATAAACATTTTTCAGGATTCTTTGATGAATAGGAAGTTTAAAAGAACAGCATTTAGTTTAAATATAATTTTTTTGTGACAGTGTAAGACTTTACTATCACTTTTGATCAATTTAATGAGTCCTTCCTGAATAAAAGTATTGATTTCTTAAAAAAAACTGAACATACTGACCCCAGTCTTTTGAATGGATGTCTATGTTTACTTTTGGTGAAATATGTTAGAGCACTTTTCTACATACTTCTGTGAAAACCAAAAATGCAAAAACAGGGCTTTGTGTGTTGTTTAGGTAATAAACCAATATATTTCCTGAAAATGTACTAGTAAATGAGGCAATTGTAGTTTTTCTGTTTATTATTTAATTTAGTTTTTAAAGGATTAGGCCACCCAAAAAGGAATTTTCTTTCTCACTTCACTTACCCTATTATTGTATGGCCAAAGGCTGTATAAAGATTTATAAAACATTTCTCATTTTGTGTTCCACTGAAAAAGTAATACGGGCATAAGGTTTTTTTGGCAAGGCATGAGGTTGAGTTTTTATTTTCATATTCTCTGGTCCTGAGATTTTCCATTTTTGTTCATGTCGTTAGTGCTTGTCATCAGCAGTGGAGAGTAATGCAGTAATGTGGCTGGAGCTGCAGGGCAGTAAGTGCATTAGTTTTGTCCAGCCGTATAAAGTAATGGGAGCTGGAGGTGGAGGTGCGTCTCTGCCTTGAATTCAAATAAGGTGCTTTTCTGACTCGGGTACAATCAGTAATTTGTTTTAGCCTGTAGCCTCTGTTGGGGACAAGTGGATCTGTGGTGGGGCTCTAGTGTACCATGAGCGTGAAGACTTCAAATCCCATGTGTTACCAAATAATGTGATGCATAACAACTGTTGGCAAGGAGACCAAATGGCTGCATGGCTGCCGATAGGCTCAGACTCCACTTGATTTTCCTTGAGAGTCATCAGTTTTTTTTATTTTTTCAGCATTTTACTTCTTTTGCCAAGGTTCACTTAATGTGTATAATGTTAGTTGCTGAAAACTGAATATGCATCATTGATGTTAAAGTGAGGCTGTTTGGTTAATTTCGTAATTGTTGTGATGTCATAGCCATGAGGATTTCGGAGCAAGCTGTCTTTTGCAGTTTATTTTTAGTAAATGTTCCTTTGGGACTAAAGATTATATAGAGATTTTATCTTGGGCCTTGTGGATTTTAGTGCCTCGCTTAAAAGGGTGCTTTATTTATTGCAATTCAACCAAAAATGAATATTGTGTCAGTATTTACTCACCCTTATGTTGATCCAAACCTGTATAGCATTCTTTATTAGTAGTATTAGTGTTTTTGATCAATTTAATGAATCCTTGCTGAGTTCAAATATTTCTTTTAAAAAAAATTATAAACTTACTGATATTTTTTTCGTCATATGATGGTATATCAATGGTTACTAAAACGGTTTGGTTACTAATATTCTTCAAAATATACTCTGTTTTCTGTAGCGTTTCAAAGAAAGAAAGTGAGTGAGTAAATGATGACAACTTTCATTTGAGGGTGATCCTTTTAACACAAAGATTGTGTTAGGATTAACAGGCCCACATTTATCGCAGATCACTTTTTGATGCATAAATTATGTATCAGTTTTTGTTTAATGTTGCAGAAATAGCTAAAGTGTCTAACCTTTTTAGGCAATGTCATTGTAGTCTTATCAAAGATTGGGTGTTTTACCGCCGTTTTGATTTGAAGGAGGTGACCTCATAGAAACGGAGCAAAAGAATATTTGGAGCGTTTACAGTAACTGTCATTACTCAGATGTGCTCTTCCTTGATAAAGTTGCCAACTCTTCAATGGATATTTTGGGCCTGAAGAGCGGATATAACCTGGTGGATATATATATACAGTGGGTACGGAAAGTATTCAGACCCCCTTAAATTTTTCACTCTTTGTTATATTGCAGCCATTTGCTAAAATCATTCATTTCAAGTTCATTTTTTTTCCTCATTAATGTACACACAGCACCCCATATTGACAGAAAAACACAGAATTGTTGACATTTTTGCAGATTTATTAAAAAAGAAAAACTGAAATATCACATGGTCCTAAGTATTCAGACTCTGTTACCAGAACCCAAACATTAGCATCTTGACACTTCTCCAAAAGTGTTCTGTAGTGAAGTAAATGCCTGTCATGACATGGCATGAAGTATCAGACAGGAAAAAAATGTTTGAGGTAGTTACGTTTGTGAAATAATATTATAATATTGTGTAATAATAATAATAATAATAATGCAGTAAAAAAAAAGTTTTCAATTTAGCATTCTAAAATGTAATTTATTCCTGTGAAGGCAGAGCTACATTTTCAGCAACCATTACTCCAGTCTTTATAGTTACATGATTCATCAGTAATCATTCTAATGTATTAGTATTCAGTTTCTCATTATTATCAATGTTGAAAACAGTTGTGCTGCTTAATATATTTGTAGAAATAGTGACACAATTTTTTCAGGATTCTTTTGTAAATAAAAAGTTTAGAAGAACAGCATTGATTTAAATGAACATATTTTGTAGCATTATACATGTCTTTACTCTCAGTGCTGCATTAAAGCATTTATTTCTTTAAAAAAAAAAAAAAAAAAAATCTAACTTTTTGTTTTTTGTTAAATGGGCTTAAACTTTTT